CTTCCTGACTAGGGGAAGATTCACCTGTGGACAAAGATGTGATGAGTCACTTCTGGGCTTCCCCAGTAGACTGTCACAGAGGGAAGCCATTGATAAACATCAGCTGGATAAAAACTGTAACTCAGAGGGAGGACAAGTCAACGGTACAGCTGGAGTGTGGCCTGGGTGGAGCATGTGGCCTCTGAAGTCCCCCATCTTGCTCCCAGGGCTGTGTCTTTTCTGGCCTCCCCACCTACTCAGGGGGAGTGTCATGGTCAGGTTGCCCGGGATCATATGGGTGTCCTCATTTGGTGATACTCGCTGCTTGTCCAGTCTCATGAGCTGTACAGGCCCAGTCCCAAAGAGCGTATAGCCCCACCTTATGGGCTAAGTTCAGGGCATACCCTGGGAGCCACTGCGGAGCTGGACTCGAGATCTGCACTTTCTACCCTAGTGGGGTCTGAGTGTTGCCCTAACCATCCTGGGGTTCACTGCGGGGTGGGTGAGGGGCAGAGACTGTGTGGGGGCTGGCTGACTGAAGAGTAGAAGATCAGGGTTAGAGGAGAGGGGTGGATGAGGAATGGCTGTCTTGAAGGTAGGGTTGACACTAGACGGATGAGGTAGTGAGAGTAACTGTGTAGCCATGATAATAAAAACATCCGTGATGGCAACAGGCTGGCATTGATGAAGACAGCAGAGGGTGATCTATGTAAGGTGACTGTGATGGTGAGGAAGATACGGCAGAGGGTGATCTATGTAAGGTGACTGTGATGGTGAGGAAGATCTAGACAAATACGACATTGTAAAGGCACCGTTGGTGGTAATGACAGCAACAGAGTAATGAAAGGGGAGGGGACAATGGTGGTAATGGTGACCATTATGATGGTACTGTTGAGGGAGTTGAGGGTGACAGTTCCGTTAGTGATAGTGACAGCAGTGACGGCAACGTTGATGGAGATGGCGGCAGTGATGATGGTGGCTGTTAGGGTCAGGGTGGTGACAGCGAGGACAGTGGGCATGGAGGTGTCGAGGATGGTGATGGCGGCGACGCTGACGATAATGGTGGTGATGATGACAGTGTTGATGGGGTGATGGCAGATGTCATAATCAGCGATGGTGACGATGATGGTAATGGTCATGGTGGTAATCAGGGTACCGGTGATGAGGATGAGGATGATGGCGGAGGTTGTAGTGGTGATGGTACTGACAGTGGTCATGACAGTGGTGCTGGTGATGGTGATGAGGGTATTGACAGCAGTAGCATGGAAAAGTCCCAGGTGATGGTTTTGGGGTGATACTGATGGGGTGGGGTTAGCATCAATGTCAGATTGGTGATGGTGACATTTTGTTTCGATAATAACATGTATTGCCGGTGAGGGTGATGGAGATTGTCAGACTCAGAGATCCTCAGGATCTCTGTCCCAAGTGTCCTGGGACTTCACCTGGGCAGATGATGATGAGTGACCAAGGCACAGTGGCTTAGCACCCCCACTGCCAGTGAGGAAACTTGAGACCAGAAGAGGGCATGTGACCAGGCCAAGCCCAAAGCTGAGTCCCTATCTAGGGATGGTGCTAAGCCCTCCTGTGTGATGGACACCCCCTGGCTGAGTGTCAATTCCTGGGGCCCGGATCCAGTTCTGGCCACACTCCCCACCCCCTGTGGTCCTCTTCCCCTCAGCCTCCCAGGCATGGCAGAGATGTGGAGGGCCCTGTGGGGAGCCCCCACACATTTCTTTTTTTTTCTCCTGGTCCATGAAAGGTAGACAAGGGGGCTGGGAAGGAAGGAGAAAGAGGAGGAGGGAGGAGAAAAGCCAAGGAAGGGATTGGTTAACTTGGGAAGCAGCTTTGGGCTTCCAAGCTGTTGTGCTGTGAGACTGGGACTCCGCGCCGGGCTCCGGCAGCAGCGTGGGAATCTGCTCCCCCTCTGGTTTTATTAATAAAGCGGGGTGGCAGTGTCACTTGGCTCTCCTCGTAAACGTGTCACTCCGCTGACTAATTCTTTTTAATTAGAAACAAGAAGACAAAAAGGCTTCGTCCTTGGCAGCTTGACAACATGGGTTTCATAAGGCTGAGCTGCTGTGCCCACCCACTGTCCTTGCATCCCTGCTCCCTCACCATCCTGGAGCTTGGGTCCAGCTCAGGAGCTAGGGCAACACCAGGTCAGGTCAGGTGGCCTTGCACTCCTTGTTGGCTACAGAGGTTACTGCTGCTACAGTCCCCGAGAGGTGCAGGCAGCTACGATGACACCCACGTCCACCTCTGGAAGAGGCCATGGGGCTACCCACCACACTTGCTCACCATGTCCCTGGCACTAGTCACACAGGCAGGAGAGACAAGGACCTCATGGCATGATAATTATCTGGGAGATACCAGCATTAGTCAGAGACCAGAGTGGAGAACCAGGGGTCCCGAATATGGGAAATGATGAAGGGACCCCACGAAGGAGCATGGTCCACAGACTTCCAAAACCACCTCATCTTCCCATTAGCTTGCCAGTGCTACGTGCCTGCCTGGGGCTGGGGAGACTTGGTGGCCTGGAACTTTCTCAACAGAAGTCAAACCTGGGCCAGCACAAAGCTGCCTGAGATCCTAAGTTCCGTAACAGCTGAGGCGATATGTGGAGGAGGGCGCTTCATGTGTCCACTCTCCCTGCCCTCTGCCCACTGCTGCCCATTGGTGTAGCCAATCACCACAGGGCTGCAGGCTTTCATCTGCCACTGTGATACTTCCCAGGTGAGGATGGAAGCTGGACAGAAGAACACAGCATGGTACTTGAACAAAAGCCTTAAAATGCATCAGGGCCCCAAGCTCAGGTGCTCTTAGCAAGGGCGTGTCTTCTTTAGTGGTGGAGGCGCCTCCCCAGGTCATCGACAAAAACACACCAATAGTCATGCTCCTTTAAGGGCAAGCTTGCAAGCCTTTCAGAACTACTAGCTGTTGTCTGCCCAGCTCTGGGGATGGACCAGGGCTTTATCTAACTTGATGCCAAATGAGGTCCTCCAGAGACAGGGACAGGGTTCCCTTCTGACTACTGGGCTAGCCAAGATCATCTGAGATCTTGCACTCCACGGATGCCCTCCCTCTGTCTGGAGGGAGGCGATGGGCCCTTCTGGACAGACAACCCAACCTGCCTTACTTTCAAAGGAGTCCTGTCCCAGGAACCAACGGTCTGGATTGGGATTCCGTCTTTCTCACCAGCCAGGGAGTTGGAATAAAATCTCCCCAAGGACACAAGCGAGAACACACATGGGACCAGCTCTCTCAAAGCCTTCACTCCTTGACTCTGAAATGCTGGCAGTGGGAAGCCTCCTGGAACTAAGGGTCATGAGTGTAAGGGTGGTGGCAGGTGGCCACGGCAATGCAGATGTTGACTGTGGGAGCAATGGTAGGTGACAGGGATGGTGTTGTTAGGGTTGACAGTATGGAGGTCAGGGTGGGGGTGCCAGTGTGGGGGTCACAGGGGCAGGTAAAGTGGAGTCCTGCTGGTGGTCACGGGCTGATGGGGGTAATGCTTGGAGATGTGGTACTGGTGGGGACAATGATGGTGAGGAGGCGACTGGGATGTGGTGGCAATTGTGGTGGTCACACTGTCAGTGAAGGTCACAGCTGTGATGGTCAGCTGACCGCTGCAGTGTCAGGGGTCACCTTCTAGAAAGTCCGTACAATAGTCGGCTCTCTGTCCTGGGACGCTGAACGGTGGAGGCTGACTGAGCAGAGCTCCAGAGAACACCGCTGGACTGCGATACACCTTCCCCAGACCCCGCGACCTATCTATTACTTAATTTGTGAGTTATGCCACTAAATAAATATCCTTTTAACTACGTGGAGTGGCCAATAATTTCTCCAATATCTGGCGCCCAATGTGGGCTAAGCAGGGTGGGCTGCTGCTCAACTGGGCAGTTTGGGGCAGACCCTGAACCCACTTTTCCAGTGGGTCCAGGGATCAAGGATTATGCCTGGTGCCCTTGAGACCCACTAATGGTAGAGACTTGCTTGCCTAGCTAGGAAACTACAGGAAGTGGAAAGCCTGGGCATCCAGGTGTCTGCAGCTACACTGGGAGCTGGCTGGCTGTGGTCCACCAGTTTCAAAGCCCAGGACAGAGGCTTAAGAACTCAGCCCAGCTGGCCTGTGGCAGCAGATGAGCTGTCTCCAGTAGGAGGAGGCAGCTGAGGAGACGGGTCCAGGTCCAGCATTCCAGAGAAGGAAAATGGAGGGGTCACCAGCCAGTAGAGGGTAACCACGATCCAAGGCCATGAGGGAGCCAGGAGGGGACGCAGCACTGGCTTCCCCTGCCCTCCCTGTGCCCTTTTCTTCAGGCCACCCCCAAACTCCTCCTCCAGGAAGCCTTTCTGGTTCTTGAAATTCTCTGTATTGATTTGGACTCTTCCAGAGCACTGTGCTCTGTCCCCGTTGGTACCTCTCTCCCCTGTGTGGCAGAGTGAGGTGCCATACGTACTGCAGGCATCCTTAGATGTCCTCATCTTGGCACTATGCCATGCTCAACCCAGACCTTGGACCCTTCAACCTGTACACAGCCCCTAAGTATTTACAGGGCTGGGGAGCTACCGCCCAGGGCCAGGGCCACCTGCTTTGCCTGGGGCCCAGAACTCTAGGGCACAGGCAAACAGATATCTGATACGGAGTCTAAGTTGTGCAGGTCTAGGTTTGTTAGAGTCACCAAGCCACCAGTGGCAGGGGCAGTGCGACCAGTCCCCAGCTCTCTGCCCGGGACTCTGGTCCCCGCCTCTCCCTCAGGGCAGGAGCAGAGCAGGCGCAGGGCAGGGCGGGCCCTGGGTGGCAGCAGCCTCAATGCGCAGAGCCTTCCTGCGTGGGGAAGCTCCTCGCTGCTGCTGCGTCATGGCTCAGCTATTCTCAGCCGCTCTCCTTTTATGGTGCCGGAAGAGAAGCAAGCGGATGCTGCTGGGCTGGCTCTGGGGAGGTATTTAAATGAAATTGCAGAGAACAGCAGGAAAACAGAGCCGCCAGGGTGGGGGTGGCAGCCTTGGACGCCACCCTCTAACTGGCATGGGCATCTGAACTCCCAGCTCTGGGGGGTGTCTGCATGGGCCAGCTGGCAGCACCCCCCCCCCAACCTGATGGAGAGCTGCTGCTCCTTCATGATCCAGCCCAGTGGGCACACAAGGAGGCAGTGGGTGGGCACTCAGCCTGGCTAGGGCCCCAGTGGAGCAGAGATTGAGGGTGGCTGCCAAACTCCCACCTCAGCCCAGCCTCCCATGCCTCCGGCTGATTCCTGGGCCGTAACTCTGCCCCTGCTCCCCAGCTCGGTCCTGGCTACCTGGATATAAGGGAACCTTGGTAGTCTTTATTCCTGCCTCTCTCGGGGTAGCCGTAGTTCCTGGACCTTCTCTCCACAGCAGGGACAGCTCACACAACGGGGACATCAACCCCAAGTCATTTCCCCACATCTGGCCTCTTTCCATCCTCTACCCTCTTGTCCTCCCTAGGTTGAAGAGGTCCCGGCCACATTAACCCTTGGCCCAAGGTTGATATCTTCGCCAGCATGAGGGAGACCTGACTCGCCCTGATACCTGGTCTTGGCTACCCTTCACATTCGGCCTCCTGTGGACAGAACCCACTGGGCTACGTTGCTGCCCTTGGCCCAGGGTGCTGCCCCATTCACCTGGCAGTCCCTCTTTATTTCTGGCTGTTAGCCCCTGCCTACTTGGGGGCCCCTGAGCACCATTGCCCAGGCAGAACCCAGAGTCACCCAGTTCTGGCATGCATGCAGGTATGCCAGGAAAACCAAAAGGGTGCTGTGACTGGGACACATTTGGTTTCGAGCAAAACACACTGCCGGACCTGCATGAACACCAAGATTGGCCACTCATGCTTAGGGGCTCTGTGGGGATGCACACAGGACAGGCCAAGTCACCAGACTCGGCATTTCCTGGGCCTGGGGACCCTTTCCTAGAGGCACAGGGAGTCACGTCTTTCTCGTTTTAACACTGGGCTTGGCATTTGTCAACTGAGCAAGGGAGCGGGCAGTTGGGTGGACACAGGAGCCTCATAGCCACAGGGCCACTCAGCTCTCTCTCTTGGCCTCGAAGAGGAACCCTAGTGGCCACTTAGTGCAGTCTGCCTGTTATATGGTTGAGACTGAGGGCCTGAATGAGCGGCATGAGGTCACACATGGCCTCAGGAAGTCGCAAGAGGAGAGTTCCTGTCCACGGCTCTCAGGCCAGGCTCAGGCGGGCTGCCCAACAAAGAACCCAAAGGGCTTCCCCAGGTCTATGCTCCGTCCCTTGTTTCTACCCTTAAACTTGCCTCCTAGCATGTGAGTCCCAAGATCTGTACCCACAATGCCCATGTGGCCTCTCCTACCTTGTTCTAGACTGTCCTAGCTTGAGCGATGACCATTAGAGGGGCCGACCTGCTCCCTGCACTAAGAACCCCCAGGAAGGGAGTACTGGGCACTCTTTGCCAAGTTCCGAGGCTCTGAGCAAGGCCACCTTGCTGACAAGTTGCAGAGGGCAGTGGCCAATCTAGAAGAGGACCACCAGTGGGGAAACTGAGGCAAGGGAAGGGGTAGGGACTCAGGGAGACTTACCCATGATCACATAGCACAAGGAAGTGTCCTACATAATGACTCTAGGAAACTAGAGGTCTCCCTCAGACCGCCAACCCAATTCCTACCCTTCTTCTGGCAACCTCCATTGTTGTGTGGCTTGCGTAGGTGTCTGGCTCTCTCTGGACCTCAGTCTTCCTTATGAATAATGACTGGGTTCAGTGAGGAACGTAGGTCTCTTGAGGACAGACTCCCACAAACCTGTGTCCTTGTCCACTGCCAGGTGGGCAGTGGGAAATGCCTGGGGCTCATGGAGCATGGAGGCTGTATAGGATCCATGGAAAAATACCAGGCTTCCTTAGAGGCTGGACTGGAGGTGTTGAGGCAGGAGGCAGGCAGGAGGAGGGAGGAGACAGGAGGGAGGAGGGTCTGGTGTGTGGGGGCCCTGAACGAACAGGCTGCCTTGCCTGTTCCAGGGACAAGGATGTAGCACAAGGCTTGCCAGACGGAAGAGGAAGGAAGGAAGGAAGGGGAGGGGTGGGTGCAGAGAGAACATGTTCCCGTGGCTCAGGAAGGAAGGCTGCTGGGAAGGGAGGGGAGGAGGACTCTGAGCCCTGGGGGGAGAGCACCTCAGACTCTCAGGGCTCCAGTCCTGCTCCTCCGCCTCTGTACCCTAGCCTGCCTCTGTTGGTGGCTAGCTCAGTGGTCTGAGGCAGATCTCCCACCTCACAGGGCCCCTATGGAAACCAAGTGAGAACTCCCCTGTGAGAAATTGAACAGCAGCCCTGTCTTGGATTCTCCATCTTTTTCTGCTTCCCTGTCATCTCCCTCAGTCTTTCCCCGACCTTGATGTTCTCCTTCGGTCTCAGCCTCCAAACTGCTGTGTATTCATGTGCCCTGGGGGAGATTAGAACCCTCAACCCTCAGCTCCTGAGACCATCATCGCCCAGCCCTACTGGGTCCAGAGACTGGCAGTGGGGGTGACTGGAAGTCATTCAGCCAGCAGAAGGCTGGTGGGAGGGCCAGGTGGCCTCCCTCCTGCCGGTGGCTCATTCACATGTCGGCTCAGCCTGAGCTTGGGAGGCCTTCAGAGTCAGTATACAGGGGCTTATGAAGCCCACAGAGCCTAGTCCTGCGGACTGGAGGTGGGGTCTCCTCCCTTCTCCTGCCCCATACTGACACCCAGGAAGGACTCCGGCTTTGCCCCCCCCCCCACTGCCACAGAGGGAAAAGTGAGGCCAGGTGATTAGAAGGGGCTGTGGAGGGGCTCACCCCTTTCTCTTCAGATCTATGCCAAATGACTGCTCTGGGCCCCCGGTTTCAACTCAGAGTACAGACCTGGAGTCGGCCAGGGTAACCGGGCATCATCATCCCTGGAGCTGAGAAGTAGGACCAGGAGCTGTGGCTGTCCAGACAGCAAAGGACATCTGTGCAAAGTGGTTGGTGGCAGGAGGCTGTCTAGAGATTTGATAAAGACAACTGGGCCATGAGCTGGGCAGGAAGTCCTGAAGCTTAGCCTATATACCCCTTCTCCTGTGCCCACACAGATGGCAGAACTGTGGGCAGCTGAGAGCAGGAAGCCCACAAGATCCCTGCCATGCCCACCTCTGCTGCCCTGGTTTCTGGCTCCATGAGGAATGGAGTCCCACAGCCCATATCATGTGGGGGTGTGTGTAGAGGGATGATCAAGGTGTGTGTGTGTGTGTGTGTGTGTGTGTGTGTGTGTGTGTGTGTGTGTGCTTGTTCATGGGTACAGGCACACACTTGTGTGTTCACGGTATACCTTAGTATGCAGGTAGAGGGATGGCCATGAGATCTGTCCTTGAAGGAGCTGTCCTCTTACCCTCGTTACTACTGGGTGTTAACTGTCCAGCTTTGGAAAAAAAACATCTGCTGGGAAGACCCTCTAGCCAGGCCGGGACAGCTGTGTCCCACCGTGGCCATGAAGGAACTTTGAAGCTATCCTATAGGAACAGAGAGGCAACTTAAGGGGCCCTAAAGCCCACATGCCTCTGGGAGCCTAGGTGGTGGGGACCCGGACACATGTGATTCCTGCCAGGAAGCTTGTACTTACAGAAGATCTTGGGGCGGGGGAGAGAAGCAGGAGAGCAGAGCTAGAGGTTCCAGGGACAGGGGCAGGACAGGAGGCTGAGGGACACTCCCTGGCCACAGAGCTCTCTGCCTGACATATTGGGAGGGGGCCCACCTGGAAAAAGGCAGCTCAGCATCACAGCATCCCAAAGCAAAGGCTGTGAGGTCAGAGCCCAGGGTGTTTGGAGTCATGGGGAGCAAAGGGCAGGACCGACAGGGCTACCTGGTCACCTGGATGAGCTTAGCACTCTAAGGACTCACGGAGGTCACTCAGGCCTGCCCCATCCCCGAGGACTCCTGTTTTTCATTGGGCCAGACATCTAGAATCTCTGGGGTAGGCTGGTTTTGATTCCTCCCCCCCTCCCCCCCCCCGTTCCTTCCCTGCATAGGCCCAGCCCCCAACACCCCTAGATTCTCCCCCAACCTTCAAGGGGGCTGAGGAGAGTGGCACTATTACCTCTCTCATGGGGCAGGATTGGTGTGCGTGTGTGTGTGTGGGGGGGTACTGGAGGAGTGTGGGTTAGAAGTCCCCCTCCCTGGAGGCAGGGAACCAGCCTGGCCTCTTTTCCAGTGGCAGAATGTAGCCCCAGGCTGCAGTGCGGGGGTTTGCTGAGGACTTCTGGGGCGATAATTGGGCAGCGATTAAGTGTTCCCACAGCAGCAGTGGCTGTTGCCTGCGCCTGTCACCTGTCACTGGGCTCCTGTGTTCACGGCTTCTGAAGACCCTGAAGGAGGAAGCAGAGTTCCATGTGACCAGTCACCCCCGTGGGGCTCAGAACAGAGTGTCTCAGGAACAGTGGCCTGAATGGACTGTTCTCTATGGGGATAGATGAGGTGGCCAGAGGGTCATAGCGCCTCAGCACTGGGACCTTCACCATCTGGGCACAATTCCCCTACAAATGGGGTGTGGAGGATACTGTCCCCTAGGCACAGTGCCTCATGTGGTCACCTCCGGATTGCTTGCTCCTCCCTGCTCCTCCCCAGCTTCCCCACTCCGGGGGGCTGTCCACTGGCTTCTGCTGTGGGCACACAGGGGCTGACTCTGGCCACTGAAGGGCTGCTGCTGCTACAGACTGAACAGAGTCCAGCTGGTTCATCAGCCTGAACCCATGGCGTAGGACCTTGGTCAACCTTCAGCTCCACACTCAGACCTGCAGCCTCCAGCTTCCAGGAAGGATCTAGCTGGTTCCTATTCTAGTAATTTCTCTGCCTGGTTCTCCTCCGTGTGGTGGTGCCCCTCCGCCTGCCTTCTGTGTCCGCCCACTCACCTCTAATTAGAAATGCCAGGAGAGCCATTTTGGGGGAGGTCCCCCCACAAAAGACATTCCACTTAGGGATGGAAGCCCCGTGGGGGGAAGGAGGAGACAGGTTGGCTCTGAGTGAGACAGGGCTCCTCAAGACATTCAGAGAGCAGGGGAGGGGCTCTGGGGGGTACAAGGTGAGGGGATTTCTGTAGGTGTGTGAACAAGAGTGGGATAGGGGAGGCTGAGGTATGAGTACGTGTGGATTGCAAGTGGGGGCCATTCGTGTGCATGGAAGGCTGTGAGTGGGGGGCATTAGTGTGTGTAGAAGGCTGTGGAGTGGGGGGCATTAGTGTGTATGGAAGGCTGTGAGTGGGGGGCAGTAGTGTGGACGGCTGTGAGTAGGGGTCATGAGTCTTGGTGAAGGCGTGTGAGTGGGGGGACTAGTGTTCACGGAGAGCTGTGAGTGGGGGGCATGAGTGTGTGTGGAAAGCTGTGAGTAGGCTAAGTGTCGGGGGCTATGAGTGTTCGGTGTGTATGTATGAGTGAGAGAGAGGGGGAGCTGGCAGAGGGGGGAAGATGTTCTCGCAGGCACCATGTGTCTGTGGGCCCCTTCAGGCTTCTGTTGTGGGCAGTGATATGTCCCCAAGTAACACCAGGGGATGGGAGACCCAGACCCATGTATCTAGCTTGGAATAAGCCGAGAAGGATGCCCTCCCCCACTGCACCACAGCGCTGTTGCCAGGGAATCGGAAGGGGCCTCCCTCTAGAGGGAATCTCAGCTTCCGGAGCCCCATTCCTTATATGGTATCTCGCTTTCCTCTGCCAGCTCCTTCTCCTCTCCCCTTCCTCCTCCCTCCCTCCTTCCTCCAGTCTAACCTCTTAGAAGTCTTGAAGCTTCTGGTCCAGCTCTGGCTGTGTCCTGGGGGCTTCCGGGCTCAGCGATGTTGCCTGCGCCTCCCACTCTCCCTATACCTTAGTCCAGTGTCTGTGCAGGTTCAAGTGATGTATCAGCTTCAGGGCACTGCAGTCCTGTTTAGCCACTGACATACAGACAGGAGTCACTCAGTCACCACAAAACACCAATGCAGGGGCCCAGAAAGAGACTTGCCTGCGAGGAGTCCCTCACAGAGTTGGACCAGGCTAGGACTTATGACCCTTGGGATGTGGTTGGTTGGACAGGCTCTCTCTCTCTCTCTCTCTCTCTCTCTCTCTCTCTCTCTCTCTCTCTCTCTCTCTCTCTCTCTCTGTCGCGCGCGCCATTAACCACAGGCAGCCGAGGATGGATGGGTCTGGAGTGAGGGGGGTCCTACCAGGCTCTTCTGAGGTTGCATACTATGTGCTCAGGTTGGGCAAGGGTCAGGATAGGGACATCAATGATCCAGAGGGCTGGTGTGCAGCTGACCCCTAAGAAAAGAGATCATGAGACCCTGAAGGCAAACAGCAGATAATAACTTGCCTCACCCCCATGCTTGCTGCCCAGGAGTGTGTCTCTGGCCTTCCATGGACCCTCCTGTCCCAGAGCTCCCTGTGGGAGGCGCGCAGCAGAGCAGATTAGTCACTCCAGGCGAGCCGGCTGTGAAGGGGCGGGTCCTTGCTGGCACCCGCGGGAGAGGAGCGAGTAGGCGCGGGGAAGGCGGGGCCTGCGGCAGGAGAGGGCGCGGGCGGGCGCTGGCGCGCAGCCTGGCCACCGCCAATGGGAGCCGGGGCTCGGAGAGCTGCCGCCCACGGGCCCCGCGCAGCATAAAGAGCCGCCGGCGGCGGCTCCGGTGCAGTGCTCGGGCGACTCGTCCTCCAGCAACTGCAGTCTCTGGGCCTCACCAGCTTCAGCACCGGCGCGCCTGCCGCTCTCGCTGAGTTCCGCGCATCACCGCGCACCTGCCAGTGCCGCTCCGCGCCCACCGACGCCGCCGGCTCTGCTGCCTTCCCGCTTCTGCCCCAGAGGAGTTCACAGCCTGTCCGGAGCCTCAGCACCTGCGAGCAGATGGAGCTGGACCATATGACGACCGGTGGCCTCCACGCCTACCCTGCCCAGCGGGGCGGGCCGGCAGCCAAGCCCAATGTGATCCTGCAGATCGGTAAGTGCCGAGCCGAGATGCTGGAGCATGTGCGGAGGACCCACCGGCACCTGCTGACCGAAGTGTCCAAGCAGGTGGAGCGAGAGCTGAAAGGGTTGCACAGGTCGGTGGGCAAGCTGGAGAACAACTTGGACGGCTATGTGCCCACCAGTGACTCACAGCGCTGGAAGAAGTCCATCAAGGCCTGTCTGTGCCGCTGCCAGGAGACCATCGCCAACCTGGAGCGCTGGGTCAAGCGTGAGATGCACGTGTGGAGGGAGGTCTTCTACCGCCTGGAGAGGTGGGCCGACCGCCTGGAGTCCATGGGCGGCAAGTACCCGGTGGGCAACGAGCCGGCTCGCCACACGGTCTCTGTAGGTGTAGGGGGTCCAGAGCCCTACTGCCAGGAAGCTGATGGCTATGACTACACCGTCAGCCCCTATGCCATCACCCCACCACCTGCTGCCGGAGAGCTGCCTGATCAGGAGTCAGTGGAGGCCCAGCAATACCAGTCTTGGGGGTCCGGTGAGGATGGGCAACCAAGCCCTGGTGTGGATACGCAGATCTTCGAGGACCCACGGGAGTTCCTGAGCCACCTGGAAGAGTACCTGCGGCAGGTGGGTGGCTCCGAAGAGTATTGGCTGTCCCAGATCCAGAACCACATGAACGGGCCGGCCAAGAAGTGGTGGGAGTTCAAGCAGGGCTCCGTGAAGAACTGGGTGGAGTTCAAGAAGGAGTTTCTGCAGTACAGCGAGGGCACGCTCTCCCGGGAAGCCATCCAGCGGGAGCTGGACCTGCCGCAGAAGCAGGGGGAGCCGCTGGACCAGTTCCTCTGGCGCAAGCGGGACCTGTACCAGACGCTGTACGTGGACGCTGAAGAGGAGGAGATCATCCAGTATGTGGTGGGCACCCTGCAGCCCAAGCTCAAGCGCTTTCTACGCCACCCACTGCCCAAGACTCTGGAGCAGCTCATCCAGAGGGGCATGGAAGTGCAGGACGGCCTGGAGCAGGCGGCTGAGCCTACTGGCACCCCACTGCCCACAGAAGATGAGACCGAGGCCCTCACACCTGCCCTTACCAGCGAGTCAGTAGCCAGCGACAGGACCCAGCCCGAATAGAGGGAGGGGCCAGCCCAGGGTCCCCAGCCTGCCTGCCACACCCAGCCTGTGGCCTTTGCCAACTAGGACTTGAGCTGGGGCTGACTCCCAAAGGGGTGCCCTGTCCAGCCAGACATCTACTCACCCCCTGGCCTGACTCACAGACAACTGCCACACAACCATGCTACACGGATGACATCAAGAAGCCCCTCTCCCGCAGGGCTCCCACCTGCCACCCACCCCTCACCTGTTTGCCCTGGCCCCAGTCCCCCTGGCCTTACCCTCTACACTCTCAGACCATCACTCGTTCTGCTCCAGTGCCCCAGTCCTCTGGGTAATCGGGAAACAAGTGTCTGGAAGGCAAAGAGCAGCAGGCACCACACCCCAGGGGCATCCCAGGGCAGAAGCTAAAAGCAGAACCATTGCCAAGAGAACCTCGACTTCAGGGAATGCAGCCCGCTCCTGCAGACACCGCAGATCCAGCTCGTACCCTCGCTGCCTCCCAGGGCAGCTGGGCAACCTTGGGCAGCATAGCTCCCCTCCCAGGGGTGAGCTAAACCCACAAATGCAGCTGAAGCAGCAGACCTGACATCATGGCACCTCCTGGCCCCCAGGTGAGCCCTGCCCCATGTATCTAGAGTTGGAGTTGGGGGGGGGGGCGGGGCGCAGAGCTAAGTCCATTTTCCAGGAAGCCCTCGGGGCTTCTCTAGCAAAGTAGCTGCAGGGATGGGATGGAGTGGCCCTCAGGGTGGGTGCCATCGTAGTGGACACTGGTACTGCAGGGAGAGAGGAGGGCGCTGAGGAGGGGGCGGTACTGGGGGAGTTTGCTGAGCCAGCTCACAGGGACCCTATGCTTTCTCACCCCAGCAGTGATTCATACCAGCGAAGAAAAGCAGCGCTCAGCTCCATGACTCAGCCGTGGCAGGCGGAGGGTCCCAGAGGGGCTGAGTCCTCACACCCAGCTGAGGCAGCAGCTGGCACCTTCAGAGCCAGGAGAATGATATCAGGTAAGGGACTCTTGCCTCCTGCCCTGACCAGGCCCCAGATCCCAGCCACTCTGGATCTCTGGGTTTTCTGAGAAGTCCTGACGGGCACAAGGGGCACCTGCTGGGGACAGGGTGACCTACTACTGCCCCCCGCAGATGCCAGGATGAGCAGTTCTCTAACCACCTTGCTGCTTCCTGTCTCCTTCAGGTCTCAAGGCTGCTGAGAAGTCTTCCTTGCCATGCCTGGAACGGGCACCACCACAGCCCGGGCACCGTCTCCTCCTCTCTCTCTCTCGGAGCTGTCTGCACAGAAGTTCCAAGATACTTTCAGGGCAGAGAAAACATGATTACAGAGAGGAGGTGCCTGGCAGAGGGCAGCACTCCAACTCAGCCTGCGTGCTGGAGGTGAAGACGGGCCAGCGTGAAGTCAGGGGCTGCCGCGCTGCCCCACCCCGCTGGCCACCCGCTGCCCGCCAAGAGCCACTGCAGCTTGAGCAGGGTCTGTTAGCACAGAACCCAGCTCGCTGAGTGGCCGTTGGCCCTCGCCAGAACCTTGCAGGAGCCTTAAGGCTTGGGCCCCAGCCCAGCCCATCCTTTCCTGCTGTGCCCTGCCCTGCTAGTCCAAGCCCAGTCTCAGCAGCCCCCCAGGCCTTGGATCCTGGGATGTTGCAGGCACTGCCCTGCCCTGCTACTGCCCAGCTGAGCCCCATCCATGCCCCAGCTCCACTGCCTCGTGCTGGCAGCTGCTTGTGTCTGCAGTCCGAGCGGGTCTTGTCGAGGTTCCTCCATCCGCCTGGTCCACTGGTGTCCTGGGACCAGTCAGTTCCACTGAAGTGTGTGCCGGGCCCCACAGCTTTATTTATTTATTTTTTTTCACATAAGCCACGACCCATATTCATTTGGCTTACACAGGAGGGAGGCCCTGGGGACTGGGGAGACCCCGGAGATCTCAAGAGAGTGTGGCTATCCCCTATTTCCGCCAAGCCTTGAAAATCCAGCCAGGCCATCTGTCCATACCATCTTACCTCGAAGACAGACTTTTATATAGATATAGAGATATATATGCACACATATAAGATTTTCTTAATAAAACCATGAAATTTCCTGGATTCTGTGCTGTTTTGTTCCGGGATGTGGGCCGGGCTAAAGCAGGACCTCAGAGGAGGCTGCTCTCCTGGAGGTGACTGCTTAAAGAGGTCTAAGGAGGGGCACAGGGGCCAGGAACAATGCTTAGGGACCCCAGGGAAACTTCTGGAGTCCCTGGCCTGGAAGGCCCTCAGGGCCCCCAGAGGCCAACCCCATGGCCTCTAGGCCTGGTTCATTCCTGGACCCTGACCAGTAGGGTTTGTTAATCCCTGCTGGGGTAGCAAAATGTATTGCAAGGCATCTTTTCCGCGGAGTTGAGCTCACTCTGGCTCAGCCTGGAATCTAGGGACAGGGTCAGTGACCTGTCTACAGAATGGCAAGTGCCATCTCTCTAGCCTTTAGTTTTCTTATCTGCAAAATGGGAAACCATCTTTAACTCTGTCCGGGCTGGGGCTCAAGGCCTGGGAATAATCTGTTCAAGGTCCGAGATGGCTTCACCTCTGTGAAGCTTCAGCTGAGCCTGCCAAACTCAGAGCAGAGGCCTGGGAGGCAGGTTACAGATGGAAAGGAGGAAAGCACCTGCTGCCAGGTTACTGGGAGAGAGAGGAGGTGGACTGTAAGGGGCTCAAACCCCATGCCAGCCAGGCCTCAGGGAGTAGAGCCAGCAGGAGACAGGGAGAGAATGGTGGCGAGGAACTGTCTGATTGCTAGGCTATATCACCCTAGCCTAATTAAGTCCATGGGCAGGTGTAACTCAAGCTAGTGTCCATGGAAGAACACTCACTAGCCTGGAGGACTTAGCTTTGCCCATTGGCTTTTGATGATCTCTCTCTCTCTCTCTCTCTCTCTCTCTCTCTCTCTC